TAGAGTTTAGTATGGGGGGAACAGTTAATGATGAATAACGGATTTTCAGAAACCTACTATAGAGACTGTCATTCTCCTATCCTCACCTGTACCTTTCCAAATGAGCCATATCAATTCATACAATGACCAAAATCAGCTGAGCTGCCCTTTCCTTGAAATTTGTGAATTAGTGAAATCTCAACAGCTGTTGTTGTGGATTATCATACTATTTATTACATATATTCATAACCCTTTGGATGAATTGTAGACACTTGATCTTCAAGTCAACATTTCGGTTTGCCCATTTATTTGCAAAACGTATCAGTGATCAACCTCGGCTATACCTCCTTAAATCACCGTAGCAACTTTACTGATGATAGCATTAACCTCAAAGCACCACTGTGCAGCCTCACCAAGATGTGAACACGGCTGTAACATCAAGTTACGCTACAAAGTCTCTTCACTCGTTTTATAGAGTTTAAACAACTTTTTCGGACTTTTTGTGTTTGAGTTTCTAATGTTCGTGTGATTTGCTGTGTCTTTCTGCCTGTCTCACTATTAATGTTAAACTGTCCTCATACCTTACAGGGTATATGTGTGGTGAATAACTTCAAAGGTGTCCACAGTGCAGCGGCAAAACAGAAGACTGAGGAGTACCGCGGTCTGCCTCTGATGACTTTCCCCCGTGTGGAGAGCCCACTGGAGACCCTGAGCGCACAGGTAGCTAAAAACACTTAACCTGGAATCCCATAAACTTTAATCTCTATGATGCACATTATCTTTCTTCATTAATTGGCAGAATTCCCTCAAGGCCTGCAGCTTAAAGCAAATTCCTCCCCTCAGATAAGGAATTCTGTAATTCTGGAACTTGGTGTCACTGTAATTTATTGCCATGTACTTTTTTTCTACTTTTTCATGCCCTTTTTAGAAGGTCCAAGTGAGGGTGGTGCATAAATCCAAAGATAATTTTCTGTTATCAATAAGTTATTTGGTTAAAAATGTACTCTCCTTCTTTCTCTTTCTTTCTATATCCTTTCTTTCTTTCTTTGTTCACTAAGCAATGACACGTGGCAGGCTTGACGTTTGCACTTCACCCCTTTCCTCCTAACCAAATGCACAGAAACTTAACACAGAGCACTCTTGGCACTAGCTGACACGTGATTTCCTCTTCCTTTTCATTTCCACGCTTTCTGTTTCCATCCACTTCATTTCTTTCTTTGTCTTTCTCTACCCCTGTCCCTTTTCCCCCCCCCATACTCCCTCCAACATCCATTTTCAGAACCACTCGGCATCGATGACAGAGGTCACATGACTAAGGGGGCAGCACCGGGTCACGTTTGCGTCTCCACAGCACTTCCAGACACAATGACGAGGACGCATGTCACGTGGCTCCGAATGCTTACAAAAACCACTCCTGATATATCTGTTTAAATCACCTGGGGGACAAAATACACCATGTTTGCAGTGGTTTTCATTTAGTTGGGCTATGCTCAGTTCAACCTCCCAAGGCACACAGATCAGGCAACAATATCACAAATCGCAACATAAGCACAGATTGTTTTTCCAGGTTATTTGAGATCATTGAAACATGGGACATTTTTTTCCTCCAAGGTGTGCTGTTTGTAGTTAGAGGACGGTGTTTTGTACATTTTGTATGAGCGAGTGCCGTAGCCTATCCTGACGATGTTAAAACCTGCACACTTCCTGTCAGCTGACTCACTCTGTTTTACATCACATCCTGCCGGGTGAAATGCCTTGTCAATCACCACATGTACCCCACTCGGTTAGAAAAATCTGCTATGGAAAAAAAAATATTGATGTTGTTGTTCTGTGGTGTTTGTCATTTGTACAGAAAAAAGACAGAATCCTTCTTTTTATTATCTCTGTACATTAACTGACCATGTCAGGTCATATTTTTTATGGATTTTTGTTAATATGTATGACTATTATGATCCATTTGGACCTGTTTGCCTGCTGTAAACCTGGATATGTTTTGGTATCAGTTGTTTGGGGAACAACTCCTCTCCCCTTAGGAGGAAATGGCAAGGATGAGTCACTGAATGCTCAGAAAATGTGTTTGTGCACCTGTAGTGACATGTCATCAGGCTAAATATACAAAAATCTGATTGGCTTAAATGCATGGTATCAGTGTGCTTCACCCCAATTTGCAGATTTACTTTGATGTTAACAGGAAGCTCTCTATGGAGAGATCCAGAGGAGCTAGCCCGTGCCAGATCCGTGTATAGACTATGCTGGTATGGTTTTCCAATTATATTTACTGAAATTCCAATGGAAGACATCCCTAATAAGTACATGGCGAAAAATATAAGAGATTCTTTTCAAGTGAAACTGAGTAATTTACTTGAGGCCTGGTTAGTCCTCCTCACTGAAAACCAGGCTAATGACTCCTGCTTCACTTTTCCTCCTCGAGGTACCCCTCCCTCTCCCCAACCCACCAGTGGATTGTGATGCAATGTTGTGATTCCATTTCCTATTGGAAGATATGCCCAGCATGAAGAGAGAAGTCAAGATGTTTTATAGATATTACTCATTATCATTGTGATTACAATTGTCTTTTACTTTGAGAACAAAAAAAGGCATTTCAGCTGAAATGCTACATATATTTTCTTTCTTCGTTTGTCCAAAAAAATTAAATAGTCAGTAGCAACAGTGTGTCCTCTTGTGTTTCTTTTTATGTACCCAAACGCTTCAATGAGAATGGTAACTTTTCATTTACTTAGAAAATATGTGACCAACGACAAGGACAATCCATCTTGACAGTCAGTACTTGTAAGTTACCTTGATGCAAGAAGTGTGAAACGTGTCTGTCCTTGTGTTTGTCTGAATATCCAGAGATTTGTTTTCATTACTTACCATTTTTCCCCCTGATTTGAGCCTTGCAGTGTCACTTCAGCTGCATACAAATCCTACCTCCTTTGCTGTGTCATCTGCATGCTAAAAATGCAGTCACATTATCCTTCCAGTCAACAAGTTTCTGATTATAGGCCAATGGATAAATGTTGATCTGAGCGATCACAGACTGTTGGACCATTCGCTGTGATGTAACGTAATATAATGTATGAAACTGGATGAGTACCCATTAGATTAATTAATTCTCCAATACCTAAACACTGTGCATCATCATTTCTATGAGTGTGTTACATACTCCTGAAGGTTAAAAGTTGAGCCAGTGTTAACTCTTGATTTCATTTGAATAGTAAATAGATGGATTTTTATTTGCAAGATGGAAGTGTAATGCAGTTGGTCCTTAATCACTAAATGTCACTGGATTATTACAGGAACAGCCCAAGGACATATTGCATTCCTAGGTTGAAGAAAACCAAAACAGGTTTGTTATTCAAGATGTTTGAGTTACAAGACAATTTCACTGAACAAACCTTCAGTTCAACCAAAATATTGCAACCATATGCAACAGACTTGCAATCTCATTGCCTTTGAAATGGTTGCTTTCTAGTTAAGCACTAGATCTGCAGCCACTTGCAGTCAGTTGCCATCTTCAAGGTGACTTTGGTATGTTAGGATGGCAATAAAACGACAATAAGACAGTCGGTCTACTATCGAAGCTGTCTGTGTTAATACAGTTAATAAACTGTGATAAATTGATGTAAATTGCAAATCTTTTGGTTTCTACATGCACAGAAATTCACATTAACAACTTAAAATCATAGACTTCAAATGTAGAAAATCACACAGGCCTGTAACCAAAATATAACGTGTTGGCAACCCTGTGAGTCAAATAGTCTACTGGAGAGGAGTTGTGCTCATAGACATAGACAGACTGACTAAGATTGATTGATTGATAGGTTGATAAGATTCTGATGAGAAAAAGCCACATATTTCCAGACATATTGAAATATGCTAATATTCACATGTTCACTCAAAGCCTAACATGTTAAACATAAAAGCAGTCAGTTATTCTAAAACAGAGTTGTAAGATTACTGCTTTTAGAGGATATGCATCCCTGGAAACTGAACTGTGAGCTGTTGCAATGATTTGTTTTAGACCATCTGTTTTAACAGAGTGCGGCTACACCAATGACTTCATAGGCATGGTGTCAGTCAGCCTAGAGTTGACTGTGAGTGTATGCTCAGTAAATGTAAACATTAATTAATCTGGCAGTCAGTGTTTGAATCAAGCAGTCAACCCTGAGACCATGACCCTAAATTTCGAGTTTAATAAAGAACGTGTACGAGTACACCTTAAGGGTTGTTTTTGAATGAAAAGTTAAGTAAAACGAATGCCGATGACTGAAATTTGAGTCTGATCCTTCATATTGTTGCTTTGGGGGTGAAGCCAGAAGAAAAACGGGATGTTTAAGTGAACCTGTGTTTACACAGGCACTCAAAAAAACACCATGAATATGGCTTTATTCTTCTTTCATGTTATAACTTGTGACAGGCAGCCCTTCTTTTCCCTCACACCACAGCCCTGTCCAGCTGCTACCTGTGCTACCTAGAAAAGTGATTAAAATGAGCATAGTTGTGCTAAAACCAGGTTATTTAGCTTCTCTAGTGATTCATCCTGTTACAGCCGCGTCGACTTCACTGATGTTTATGTCATAGCTAAGCGAGGCGTACACGCACAGAGACACAAAGAAAGCTGACGGCTCAGTCTGTGCACTTGCTCTTTTGCTCTGTCAGGTATTCATTTCAGCTGTGACAGCCTGCGCTTACCCTGCAGACACACTGGCTAAATAGATAGGAGCTGTTTGTGTTTGTGTGTGCGGCGGTATTTTACCATGCCGTGTCTTCGTAAAATGTCATCGTTAGCTGTTCTGAGTATGCCTTCCTGTCCAAATTGCTGTCCCCTAGCAATATGAGTGAAGAATAGCAACAACCAAATGTAGTTTGCAAGGTAGGGAACAAACCTCTGAGTGGTTTGAGTTTTTTAAATATATAGCTGCTGTACGTTTTTATAAAATAATCTATTAAAATGAGCTGGAATAAGTAACTACAGATGAATCTAAATGGTGAAGCTTTTATAAATACAAAAAAAAGTCTGGTTTGCAGTGGCTGTCAGCCATTGTTCTCAAGTGTCAATTCACACTTGTCTCTCTTACTGAAGCTGGGGACTCGTAAGTGCAAGGAAATACCTTAAATCCTCTTAAAATCATTGAGCTTTTGGTCTTCCTTTGAGTCACTTGGCAGTAAATCCACTTTGCTGCCAGATATAAATGAGATTAAGGATTCTAAAAAACCTGTTTGAAATAAGTTGTTTTGCAACGAGCAGCGTCAAGGTTTTGGAGGCATAATAACTTAAAACCAAGGTTGAGGTAGGAGCAAGCCTCAGAGTCTTAGCATGCCACACTCTGCTTTCTAATTTGTACAGGAAATCATTTACAGACCTGTAAAATTGAACATTTTTAAGACACTGGGGGGAAAAAGAAATGCAGCAACTAAGATAAGTGCAAAGAAGATATTTAATAACAGAACATGTCCAAACCCAAATGATGCAAGGAAACAGGGCCCCAGAGAGGGAACTGTTGTGTTGTGTTCATTTTTGAATGCAAATCACATTTAATAACGTGTCAGAGTTAAACTAGTGGTCTGTGTTCATACAGTTACTATTTAACAGCTGGCTTAAATGAGGAACTGAAAAGTATGTATTTTGTGTCACAATGTTACAAGAGCACCAGTATGACCTCAAGAGCCTGGACAGAAAGGTTTTGTTTTGGGTCCCTGACCGCGGAAAAAGCTGGAGACTGTTCAATTTAATCCTGTTTTAGGTTTTATGTTGCCAGCTTGCCATTGTTGTGATCTCACTGTGAAATACTTCTATACCCTAACTCAAACTCTGACAAGTTAAGGTGACTTTGTTTATTCAGTGTGCATCAGTGAAGTGCAGGACATTATACAGTGACCCATAAATAAGATTGTGTGTACGCTTATTATAATCCACCATAAAATGTCAACCTGGTGTTCATTACGTATGTAAATGTGTCTTGCGAAAGCTTTATCTTTTTAAAAAAATGATTACATCTAACCACCCGACCGACCCTTTCAAAAGCTTATTAGAGAAAAAATACCCCTAATCAATACAAACATGCTACCAAAAGCAAGAAACATCAATGGTAATAGCTGAAAGATACAAGGTTTCAGCAAGACACACAAACATGAAGACTGAGATGACTGGGTTCAACCTCAGGTCATTTGAAATCCTCAGTGAGTCTTAAAAGACTCAGGTGAATTAGTCTATTAAGCTTAAATACCAAAGAGTCCTCATATCTGTGATCAGGCTTAATGTCATAGCAAGCAAATCTGTACCCTTGGAAAAATGAGGTTTTAGGGGGGGAGGCATGGCAGGGACAAAAGGAAGAAATAAACAGGAAAAAGGTAAAAGAACCAGATAGGCATGAAAAGGAGTTAAAGAATTGTAATATAAGGGAAGTTGAGAGGGGCAAGGAATTGCAAAGCTCTTCAGTGATACAACAGAACAGATTTGGTTCAAGATCCCTGGTTCGCCCTTATCCAGCACCTCTCATCTAATTCAATCTCATGTTCCAGGAGTGAGAAAATGTCCTACTTGGAATTGCAGAGCAGGATCTGATCACTGCCGAACATTTCAGTGCAGTGTTGAGGGGAGCTCCAGAGCCATAAGGAGGATCCTGCTATTGGAAATCGGTGAGGCTTCTAACTTCAGAACTCAGGCAAGGATTTGTTCCGGGACCCAGCTGAGGTTTTGAAAACTAGTCCAGTGTGTTAACCAGGGTTCTCTTTCCTGGACAAATTGGGACTGGCTTCACAGCTCCGGACATGTGTTTTTCTGTTGTTTAATCTGCTGGTGGGTCTGGGTATACTGAACAAACTGGTTAGACTGGTGTGAAGTGGGCTGACTGGGTGCAGTCTGGTTTGCTTGCTGGTTTTCTGATTGGTACTGTTCAAGCTCTCTCTTCCTCCTCATGGCAGACTGCAGCTGCTGCTTGATTACAAGGATTTGACTCTCCAGTTCTGACAGTTCTTGAACCAGCGGGTTCCGTCCCAGACCTGGACCGCAGTCGCCCACTCCCAAAGCACGGCACTGCCCAGAACTGCCCTGCCCTGGCCCCAGTCCTTGGTCCAAACCCCTTCCTAACAGGTCAGAGCGACCATTAGAGGTAGTTACTATAGGCAGGGGTTTCTCCAGCAGAGGGAGAGAGTGGGGATGAGGGAGGGGAGAAGGGGGCGGTGGAGGAGGGAGATCCTGGGATGACGGGCATTCCAGGTCGTTTTGCATCTCTTGTGGAAGGATCCTTCGCCTGTTGCAGTAGGACGACTCTGCAGGATTCCAAGGCGCAGACTGGTTGTTTCCCTCATTGCACCTGGAAATAGGAGAAACCTTCATCAGTTCATCTGACTGCATGTTTACTGTACAATATAAAGCGCCTTGAGGCGACTTTTGTTGCCATTTGGCGCTATATAAATAAAATTGAATTGAACTGAAATGTTTCCAGTCTGAATCCAATATAAAATCAAGGCATCAGCTATGGCTAAACCATGAGTTGCCACTGCACACACAATTCTGAACGTGTTATATGACAAACAGCAATTTACACAGAGCTGGACTGAAAGAGTTGAACAATTTCCAGAAGATTGCTTACGGGGGTAAAGACTGGAAATGATTGCTATGGGGGTTACATTGAGTCTTGGAAGAATAGCAGTGTGACTGCTTACTAAGAAATAGTTTTTCGCTTTTCCTTAAATATGTCATTACATGAAAAGGGTGTTCTTTGGGTATTGTCCTGTTTATTGTTTGTTTTGTCTACACAAGCACCACGTTCTTAGGGATGACTTATGGCTCTGCTGGCTGATCAGTAGACAACATTTAAATATCATTTTTGAATCATCATGAAACTTTGGACATTTGTTTAACATAGTTGAATCCTACTGACTGTGGTATTCGAATAAGAGACATTGCTTTTATTCTTGAGATAGCACCTTTCTACTCTACCTGAGCAGTCAAAGCGTTTTACACAACTTGCCTCATCCATTCATAGCACTTTTTTTTTCAATGAATTTTTCTACGTAAGTGCTTTTTATCTAGCATTCAAACACATCGTTCCTCTGAATGCATTGGAGAGCAATTTGCAGTTAGTATCTTGCTCAAGGATCCTCAAGAGTGTGAGTATGGTAATATACTGATGTTTTTTCTAGCAGGCAGACAAAATCTTCTCATTCGGTGCATAAAAGATAATAGTTTTTTTTTTATTACTTAATTATTAATAAAGGTTTTACATATTTTTTTACAACAGAAAAGGAACACAACAAACAAACAAAAACAACAGTAACAAAACAAGCAGTCGACTGAAAAACACAGTTTTTTCCCTACAAAGCAATTCTGGCAGTGAGAACATGACTTTATATTCATGAATTGACAACACATCTACAGATGTAAGAGCAGCCTCGGCGAGGCATACAGAAGTTTATATAGATGTGAGTAGGCACAAACAGGAATTAAAAATAAATAAATCCCATTCTAATTTCAGATAGATTTCAACCACTTGTCCCATGTTGTGGTATAAATATTATCTTGCAACCTTAACAAAAAGGTAAGTTTTTCCATTTTATGAATCTCCTCCACAACGCTCAACCAGTCGTCCAGAACAGGGGGGTCAGTACAGAGCCACTTACGAGTAATTGCTTTTTTCGCTGCAGCAGTAGCTGCATTTGAATAAAGCACCAAATCCACACTTTTAAGCTTAAATTTCAAAACTTACATTTAACTACTGATTTTATCTACTGTTCTGATTTTATCTGTTTTGATTTTATATACTGTTTTGTTTGTTTGTTAATTAGTTTGTTTGTTTGCTTGTTTTAATCAATTTTAAATCATGCTTTTTATTTGTTTTTTGTTTCTAATGTCTCTGTAAAGCACTTTGAATCACCTTGTTGTTGAATTGTGCTATACAAATAAACTTGCCTTGCCTAGCAGTAAGAATCTTCAGGAGATATTTGTTATTGCTTGTTAATTGTTCGGGTAAGTCTCCTAAATAAAATGTTATGAAGGGCCGTTGTTTTGATTTAAAGCCTATAGTCCGTTCTATCTTTGATATAACATCTTCCCAAAATTTAGAAAGTTTTCGACAAGACCAGAATATGTGGGTATGGTTTGCAACAGTTTCCCCACACAAGCCAGATAAGCAATGTAAAAGATGCCAAGGGGTTCAGTTCTTTCTGACAAGTTGTTGCCAGTTTCTGATCTCCTATCAGGGCTCGTATTGAAATGACCCCACACATGTTCTCAATGTCTTTCCATCGGGCCCCACAAGTATCATCACACCATTGTATAACTATTTTGAGTTGAGCAGCAAGGTAGTAATCTCGGAGACTTGGGAGGGAGAAGCCGCCTTTATCTTTATGAATTAATAATGTGCTATATTTAATTCTAGGTTTTCCGCCCGCTCCAAATAAATCAAGATATTTGTTTGTCCCAGTCATGGAACTGAGATTTGGGGATTTTGATAGGTAGAGACATAAACAGATACAGTAGTCTAGGTAGGACTAAAAGATGATAGATTTTTAAAGTGATTCTGTAGTATTTCAGGTCATTCCAGGTAATGAGGACCAAACCCTCCTCATTTAATTGCTTTTTGCCTCCCTAAGGAAATGCCGGTATATCTATCCTGTTAAGCCCGTGTACATTTCTTGGTAAAATGAAACAAAACAAAACAATTTTTTTAAAGAAAAGCTGTGGGTGGATATTAGCTTGGCTTAAGGCCTTGCCAGTATATAAAGACACCTTGACTAACTAGCAGCCAGATGCTGCAGATCAAATGCACTTGATTATCTGACCAATAGCAAGTGTGACCACCACTAGTTTGGTTCAGTGGAGCATTCAGGCGTGTTGCCACAGTCTTCCCAGGATGGGCGCAACAGCAAATTCACCCCAAGTCATACCTTCAAATGTTCATGTTCATGTATATATGTCAATATGACAATATGACAAAATGTCAATATGACAGTACAATAAGATCAAAAAAACAAGTAAGTAAGAGGCTGATTGAAAGTGTTGCTCGGAAGAAACCTCCACAGGACCTCTGCACCTTTCAGTTATTGAGTTTATCATGAGCTCCTCTGTATACCAAAGCACTCCAGAGTCAAATGTGAGACCATCTGTACCACAGCTACTGGGCCAGGCCATTGCAACTGGGTGTTGCAATGGTCAAAGTCCTGACAAAGTCCAGGCAGCTGTGTGAACCTGCAAACCTCAATGAACTGAAGAGACTCTGTCAAGAAGAGTGGGCCAAAAGTCCCCGATGTGATAGACTGGTAAAGTCATGCAGAAAATGAAAGCTTCAAGTTATTGCTGCTAAAGGTTGCTCTACGAGGTCATGCAGTGGACTTTTTCCACATAACTGTAGTAACAAAGATCCTCTAGCAGGTAATCCACCAAATGGATGACCTGAGTAATAAGTACTGGACCGTTTCCCAGTTATATTTGTGCTCTACTTGTAGTCCAAGTTCTATGGACCATTTAAAACGTTGCTGAATGCAAGTAAAACATCCATATGGAGAGCATAAAAAGGGAATGCATTTGCCAAACTGTGATCTCAAAAGTATTGGTTATCTTCCCACAATGACAGTTTGTTATTAGCTTTTTTAAAAAGCCCTACATCTGCACATTCATTGTTGTTCCTAAAGGCTAGGCCATCAAAAAACAGCCGGTGGGTCTCTCTGCTTTGTTTTTGGAATTTCTTAAAGTACATCTCATTATCGGACTGGCTGAATGGTTATATTGCCAATTCAGTTTTGTCAGAACTTTGAACCTGGTGTTCAAGTTTGAAAAACCACAGGAATAGCAGCAACTCACCAAATAATATTTGGCAGATGCTTGGATCCAGTCTTATGCACAAGTTTTTTTAATGAATAGGCTATCACCACATGTAGGTACTGAACACAAAAAAAGAAGACATTGCCAGAGCTCAATATAGAAGTCAAATTCATGTCCAATTAATTTCCTCTGCCACCAGCCCTGATCCCCAAAACCTTTCCTATCCAACCCCAGGTCCACTGTGATCTTTGCGCTAACAAGCACTAGCAGCAGTAATGTGGACTGAAGGTCCAGAGAGACATTACTTTGACACAACACCACGGATTTCATGTTCATTTGCACCATTAACATGTATTACCTTACAAATCCTCTCTTTTCCTCCCTCCCCCCTTTTGCTGTCCTCCATTCTTAGTAGCACTATGATCCTTAATCATTGTCCAATGTACATCATTCCTCTTGCCTTTTAAAAATTATTTAATATCACGTAACAAGCAACGTAGAAGGATAACAAACAAGAAAATATTAATTCACAATTCAAAGAGGTTTGACTAGCACTTCAAAGCTACACAACCTCTGAAGAACATGTAACTGTAGTTCACCTTGGTGATATGTCAGTTTCCTTGATTGTGCTGACTATGAAAATAAACCCATGTTGAAAAAGATTAAAAAGGCATGTAAAAAAATCACAGCAAGAACTTAATAGGAAGAAGATAGAAATAAAGGCATTTACACTACATAAATGAGAAGTTGAGAAGATGAGTGTTCTGTTATCACTAGAGAAAATACCACTGTGTCCTTGCTTTTATGCTTCACCAACCATGGAAATGTTTGCTAGAGGCTGAGGTTGCCCTTATCATTTAAACTGATTTTGTAAATTTAGCTATTATTCCATTGTTTAGTTCAGTTAGTATATAATAAGCTTCATTTATTTCTTCATTGTCTACTATTGATTTATTAAAGATTATGAGCTGTTTGGTTAAGTTAGAGAATTAAAAGCCAAGGGAAATATTCAGTGTTACAATTTAAAGAAGCACACAATTTTTGTAAAATATGCATTTAACAAAATTATATTAATGATTCAAAATACAAAAAGTCAAGTTAAGAAAACATATTTTATGTATACAAACTGTAGTCCATAATAAAAATACCTCAGATTGCCTTAACTGTCTGCTCTTTATTACTGAAGATGAAAATACAACTTTAAAGTATATTAAGGACCAATAAAACATATTCCCTCTCAACTCCAATGTTTGCTGTAGGCCTTATTGAACTTGAAGTCTAACAAAAGAACAACATTTCTTTTCTTTTCCTTTCCAAAAAGAAACTTTTTAAAATCTACTGGACCACCTCTGCAAGCTGAAAAAACAAAACAAACTAACATGATTTTATTAAAGCAGTGAAGATGAGATACTCTCATCACACAAAGTAAAGCCTAACAGACGAGCTCTTTGAATCAAAGGAATTTTCACTTGGTGATAAAAAAAAGTAACAGGGAGAATTTAATCTGATACTCCAGACATCAAAAGAGACTAAAGCTGACACACAACATGAAAAGAGTTGTTTTTAATTTTATTAAATTCATATGTGCATCTTTTTGACAGGAGGACACCTGCACTTGTGTCTGCAGTAAAAGATGGAGCATTTTGAAGTCTTGAGATAATCATGGAAGTTTCAGCATTTACAAATGTAACCAGTAGGAAGTTCTTCAACTATTCTATAACTATTACATTCTATACAGGTCAAATTTGACTAATTTTAATGTTTGAAATAAGTAAAAAATAAAACAAATTTCATCCTTTAAACCAGTCTTTTTCCAAAGTGACCCAAAATACACAAAAAATGTAATATTTTAATTTTTCATACTGTTTTACAGATGTTAAAAATTTGTGTACACTGCTCAAAAAAGAACACCTTAAAAACAATGAAAATTATGCTGCATATTCTGACATTGACTAATGCATTAACGTTATATTATTGTTGATTTAATATTTAAAATTAGCTTTTTTTTTTAATATTATAGCATTAAGCACAGTGTTTAACATGGTTATATGATAAACCCCATAAAAGTAGATAAAATATATTTGAATCGTCACAGCTGTTATCTTTTTATCTTTTGGTAAAACAGGAAATTATGTTACTTGAAAATAGATGTATGTATGCATATCAATTGATATATATTTCCAATTTCGGTTTAAACACTTATTATGAAGGAATTCTGGGCCAGATCAAAATGGAACTGGAGCATACTGTGAAGGCAGGAAATATGACCAGTATGTAAGTTCTGAACGAAGTGAGATATTCACAGGTAGGTCCCCGGTGTGTTTGAGAACATTTAGATTGAAAGAAATAGAGGTATGAGGTCTTTGCACTGTCAGCACTAAAGCATTTGTGGAAAATTAAGGCTTTTAAGCCAAAGGTGAAGTAAAAGGAGTCAGTTTATAGACTTGTATACTTTAATGTTAACTGACATATATTATCCCTCTTTTCTGCTTATATTATTGATTATTTATTGTTTGTTTTAAAGCACTTCCACTGCTCTGAAAAGTGTGAGATAAATAAAGATGATTCTTTTTCATTAGTGTTCTACAGCATTTCCTCCTTTCGCATTAACTAAAAAGCTGGATTCCTTCATTGTTTATCCATCCATCTGAGCAATTTTCCTTGATTTGGTATTCAGGGTGCTAACTCTGAGAGCAGCCCCTTCATCTTTTATGAATTGGTACAATGATTGAAACAGTGTTCACACCATTTCAATGGAAAATATATGAACACAGACTTTACTTTTTTTGCCCTTGTAGAAATTACCACCATGCAGTGACCCACAAAATATAATGCTTATCAAGGTCAGAAAGAAAAATGTGCAACATAATGTGTGCAACTCACACTGAAGTCATGTCAAAATTCGAATCATTATTTGTCTGCAACATTCGAACGTGTTCTTGACATAGCACACATTTTTATTCATTTTCTCCAGCCTGAGACAACTTTCCTCTATAATAATGTACTGGATCTATGCTTTAAAATCAAGATGTATGTATAGAAAGACTGTTGTTTCCATGTGTAGTTATTTAAGTTTTGGAAAGTTGCACACCTTTGGTTTTGGAGTGTTATGTTCCGGTTCAAGTCATTTCCTGTTATATTTTGTAATCATTAGTCTTTGTGTATTCTAATCAGTTTTACTTCCTCCCTTTAGTAGTTTTCCATCCTTGATAATTATAATCTATGACCTGATTAATCTGACCGGCGTTGCTTTCTACATCCATTCCCAAACTACCAATTACTCTTCTGTGTCCAATTACTTAATCACTCACCCCAGTATATATACACCCATTTGTTCTCCCACATTGTCTTGTTACTACTAGTCCAGTTTTCTAGTGATTCTTTTCCTGTACCTTTTTTTCTGGAGTTCCTGGTGTTTTTATTTGTTTTGACCCACGTTTTTAGTCTCTGGTTTCCTCTTGTATGATATTTTGTCATGTTTTTGCATTTTGCCTGCCCCATGTCTGCATTACTTATGCTTCAATGCTGTCTTTCTGTGTATTACCACTGGTTGGATTAAAAGGTTAGATTTTTGGTCCTCCTCCAGTGAAATTCTCACAACCCTTCCAACATATATGAAAAGCCAAAAGTAGAAAGATTCAAAGAATGATCAATGATAATTGACATTAAGTGACACATTACATAAAAAAGAAGCTGGGGTAGAGTTTGGTTGCAAAGCAGCTTGAAGTGTGAAGTTAAAATTACCTAAACAGCACGCCCTGCAAGAGATTTGCCAAATGCATATGACTGAACTATTAGCTTGATTTTGTTTCCAGCCTGAACTAAAGATGCCCTCGATTTGAATTATATTCTTTATATGAGAGGCCAAAACAAAACTTGGACACACCAAAACAGCATCCGATAGTATTGAAAATCACAACTTCCAGTACTTGCAGTTATTTTTCTATCTTATGTCAATCAGTGAAGTTTTCTCTCCCTACTTCCGCTTACCTGCAGCAGTTCTCGAAGCTAAAAATTTTTTTTTAAAATTGCATTTTATTCACCAGTAACTTTTATTTTCCTAGCCCGTATATCAGTACAGATGTTTCTATCGACAGTCAAAACAAGACACACGCAGCTTGCTATGCTGAGGTCAGAGGGTGTCTTTTATTAAGCAAAATATAGAATCGCTGCATTGGACTACAGCGTAGAACACCAGTCTCAAGTAAATTACTTTAAAACTAGCTTACAGTTTTTTTGTCTCTTATTTTGACCTGTGTCAGCAGGTTTTTAAAAACAAAATAAAATAAAATAATGCATATTAAATGGAAGGCCACAAAAAAAGAAAACTGTAAATAAAATGATATGAAATACAATGTTAAATAAGTGTACTGGTTATTAAAAAAAACCCAACTAATTTATGTAATTTTAGTATTAGGTATTAAAGAGACGGAACAATTCTCCACTACTGAAACAGAGTATTGTAGCTCAATTGTAACTGATATAATTGGTGTATTCAGAGCGACAGATAATCCTATTTTAGCCTGGCTGTCAGTCATTGCCAGAGCTTCATGACCTTAACACTGTGCTTGATACCAAAGCATGCAATCTTAACTGGCCATCCGAGAATATTTCACGGTATTACAGACACTGCTGCTAATTATCTCACACAGACAGTGTTCTCTGCTGTCTTTGGGTTTTCCTACATCCCAGTTAACACACTTAGGAAATGAAATGTGCTATAGCTTCATCCTAAGTAGTAGTGATTTCCAATTTAATTTCCATCCATGTGTTCCATTTGGTCATCCTGTATAGCGATTTTCAGTACCATACAGTACAGACTAGGACTGATAATGATGCATTTTGGTATCGTTTCGCACAGTTTAATTCTAACTGAAACTGTCTAGAGTATAAAATCCTGCACGGGAAGATCTGATTTCAGTGCTCTGATTGCACAAAAGACACTTTTGACACACAAGTTTTTCGGCAGAGCACTGACAATGAGACGGTAATAATTTCTGACTCTTAGACAGCATGCAGAATAACTTGATTGAATGAGTATAATTATGCAAGAGTAGGCAATCCATCCTCATTACCACAGGCATCCCTCACATGGCCTCGGCTCCATAATTATTAAGTGTATTTAATCCTTACTTTAAGTGCTCCACCTGAGTGTGCTCTCAGTGTGGAGTGAGTGGTAGATGTGAATGAACTATACTATAAAATGGAACTTTATTTTGCTTCTAAGGGGAGACCAAGTAAATCCAAATCAAGACAAAGGGTGGTGGTATGATTAGATGCTTGATGGCTAAATGTGAAAAGGGCAGGGCTACGCTATGGCACAGAGTATCAAAGTGTATGCAACTAATATGTATTAATATGTGCAATTAAATGGCCCCATGCAAAGGACACTGAAAGTGCCTACATGAAGACGCTTTCATGATTTACTGATTCTCCCTTTCTCACCCACTGTTTTCAACAATACCACGTGACGTCAGCGTGAGATTATTTTCTCAATTTCCCTCACTGATAATTGGCTTCCAACAGATTGACCTTTCTATTTAGTTTTTGATTAAAAATGGGTCCCTTAACTTCCATTTGGATGTTAATTGATGTCACTTACTGTTCAGCTTATAATTTGGCCAATGCACCATTTAGCTTTCAAATATTGGCTTCTTACAGGAACACCTTGTTTGCATTTTTAGTCTCAGTCAATGTGGTCTATTTAAGCATGCATCACATTTAGGAGCATTTTTCATCTTCGTTTGTAATATGTAACTATGTTATTGTGTTTAAAAATCCAAAGTGATGGGAAAATAAGCAGCATTTAATAAACAATTCTTACATCACACCTGCGAAAAACAGCAAAAACAACAAAAAAATGGTATAAAGTGTTTAAAATGGATCTGTTGCACCATATACTGAATTTTTTGTAATGTACCGATGAAGATAACAAACAAATGTTCCAAACAATAAATAAATAATTACAACACATATGTGCTCAGATCAGATTCAGATCAGTCACTTAGGGATGGATGTTTCATCAAGTATAGATGATGAAAGACCAAACTGAAATAATACAATGCCCACACTTTAAAGACAATAACAGTACCTCTTTTCAGGCTTTGTAATAGTCGGTAGTTTGTCATCTGTGAAGACTGAGTTGAGGGCCCGGTGTAATCTCTGGAAAACAAGCAACAACATGTGCTTACTGTAAATGATGTGTCTGATTTTTAAGTGTCTGAAAGACTTTACCATAAGCAGCAACAACAAAGCAAGAACAAAAAACAAATGCACAAAATTCGCAAAACCAGAAACTGTAGATAAAAACTATTCATTTTATAAATCTTATTTTTCATAATTGCTTGCACAAACTATTTTTAAATTATAGTGTGACCACAGTCACGGTCACCACATGTGTGTTTGAGTGTGAGTCTGGTCCGTACCTGGCTTGTGTGTAGCCAGTATTTGAAGCGTGGCTCCTTGACCCTTGGGATCACCAGCTTGTACACAATGTGTTCCGCTATGGTGGTCAGCAAAGATAAAGCCACGCCCACACACAACATCACAAACAGACCAGAAAAATGCTTTATACCCATCTGCAGCGTCTGGAGAGAAAGAAATGAGACAATCAGTATATGATAGAGAAGCTTGAGAAAGTGAAAAGGTGGGAAGGATAAAGGAGGTTATACAGGGAGTGTGTATACAGATATGCATATGGAGAAGCAGATGTTTAAAAACAATCCATGAACAGTCAAGTGAAACAGATTGTTTTCGCAGGATGCTATGCAACGGACTATAAAAGTAAAGGCTTTGGCAATTTACTGGTCTGGAGCATTCAGTTGTTTGTTAACACAATGACACAATCTTCCCATGAGTGGATGCCCCAGCACAATTACCCAGAGGTCAGACCTTGCAAGCTCAGAGAAACTGCAAAAAACCCAGGAGCAATACCTCAAATGTTACAGCCTCCAGTTAGCACATTAAATATTAAAGTTCATGACAGTATGATTTAAAAAAAAAAAAATGAACAAGTGTGTGTTTGGAAGTGTTGCAAGCCTCTTCTCTCTAAAAAGAACATGGTAGCACTGTTTATGTTTGCAAAACTGAATCTGAAGAAACCACAAGACGTCTGGATCAATGTCCTTTGAACAGATGAGACCAAAACAAAGATGTTTGGCAAAAAACAAACAAATCGTATCGGCACAAACACCTCTGTCAAGCACAACACTTTAGTGATGATGATTTGGTGGTTGGTGGTTGGTTTTGCAGCCACAGGACCCCTGCACCAAACTATTCTAGAGCCAAATGCTAGGCAATCTGATGAACTGCTGAAGCTTCACTTCGGCCATGCAACAGGGCAATGATCTCAGTACAATGAAGCATAGAACATTGACAACAGAAAGAATCAAGATGTTGCAATGACCCAGTATAAGTCACACAACAGTGTGAGGGCATTACAAAGTCATATAGAAAACAAGTACTTTAAGTTATTCCTGCTAAAGATGGTTTTATAAGTAACTGAATCTGTAATTTAGGGTGTACTTAGATTTTCACAGGACTGCATAGAGTCCTCTTATTCATATGACAGTAAATGACTTTAAGCTTTATACTTATATCTTGAAATTCTCATTGTCTAATTATTTGAGACACACAATGCAATAAATAATATATTAAATGTATTAAATATATATTAAATTAAAAATATAGTAAATATATTGATTACATGTGATTCATATGGATTATTTTGCTCATAAAAAGAAACTGAGGGCAAAATTAAGGGCGATAGCCTCCAAATATCATTACGAAGTCAGTCACAAGTAAAAATTGCTTTAAATAAAAACAGAATAATTTTTCAGAGGACTGGAAATCTGAAGTAAGACCACCTTGCATTTACAAACTCAGGGCAAACACGTCATGAAATTAATTTCAAATCTCTTGGAACAAGTTTTCTCATTCTTCTGAAATATAAGAGAATCCCTCTGGGATGTCACACTTTCGATCAGATTGTGATTGCCTCCTTCACATCTTAATTTACACTCGTTCTGTTCTAAATGTGTCCATATTATTGTGCGAGTCTGTACATGTAGCCATCTACAAATGTGATATAACACTTTGCTTAACTGACCACTTGTTGCAGTTACTGCAGTTACATATATTCTCATAAGAATCTTTTTAGTGCTGAGTGTGCAATAGCTTTTTGATACCGGGGCAGCTGCAGTGATTACATTATAAAGTCATGTTGGTAAAGAATACATGATGGATTAAATTTATCAATGTATTTTTGTGACTTGGCACGCTAGCAGTAATGGAATTTTGGATGGTGGAAGATAATGATTCCTGAGAAGTTGTTGAATAAAGAGAATAGTAACCTTTGGCTGTGCTGGGATACATTTTAAACTCTATAGAAATCCATTGGGATAGGGGAAAAACTACTGCGGTATCCTTCAAAGTCAAGATGAGCTCATTGTATATATGTGACGTTAATCTGATCTAAGGCTACGTTCACACTGCAGGTCTTAATGCTCAATTCCGATTTTTTGATCAAATCCGATTTTTTTTGTCTGGTTGTTCATACTACAAAGGAAATGTGACAGCAAACGCGCTCTAGTGTGAACGGTTCACGGCCCTCAAAGCGGCCCGCATGCGCAAAAGAAGACGTCACACACAACGCCTTCTGTTTGCGGAAGCAAAAATGGCGGCTACAGAGCTAGTAGGTGTTGTTGCAGCAGTCTATCAATTCCTGCACAGTCGTAACCGACAGAATTTTGAGAAATAAATTAGAGAGAGAAGGAAACTGAGAAAAAAAGAGAGCCCGTGCTATAACAATGGCCGCCATGCTTTCTCATTTGTTTTCTCTAGCGCTGATAATTGGCGTCTGTCTTGTGTCAGTGACGTAAAAGACGAATTTAATGCGACATAACCATCAAACAGGAGTCGCTTTCTAAAACATCAGATATGTATCGGACTCAGTACCACATACGAAAGTGACCTATCAGATTTGAAAATATCGGATTTGTGCTGTTCACACTGACATACCATGATCGGATATGGGTCGCAAAAGGACAAAAAAGTCGGATTTGATGCGCTTTCCCTGCAGTGTGAACGTAGCCTAATACTCCAGCTTCAGTGAATAAAGAACACGTTTGAGTCTGTGTCTAATAGCACACTCCAACATTCCTCATTAGCAGTGTTGGCGAGTAACGGAGTACATGTACCGCTGTTACGTATTTAAAATACAAAATATGAGCAACTGTATATACGTTTTGGGGCATGTATTCTGTAATCTGTAGTGGAATACATTTTAAAAGTAACCTTCCCAACACTGCTCATTAGAAGGCTCAGCACATGAAAACACATACTATATGCTACAGGTTTTTGGTAACACACGCTTCTAGGCTCATACCACTATATACAACAATCATTTCTAATGGTGCTGTTATATTTCATCATTTGACTGCATAAATTAGCAGAAAAAAATCAATAAAAAAGCACATCACTTTTATCATCTTCACTTCTTTTATCACCATTTATTTCTCGGTAATGCTAAGTTTGGCCCTCCTAATGTTAAGTAATTGAATAATATGCAATTTATTGGTATTGATTTTATTACTTCAAATGGGATCAGATTCTTTGGGGTGACGGAGAGCTGGGTAAATGCCAGAGAGCTTGGCTACTGTACCTCAGTGAAGCCAATCCATCAGATTTTTCATCTTTTCAGAATCCTTAGGCTTACTGCTGGTGGTAGTCACTCATCGGTATAAATAATTGCTAAAAAAAAGTGCTGAGCAGGGCTAAAACTGGGCCAAGCTTGTCAGTAACTCATATTGCTTATATGACATGAGGGCCCTGCTGATGTTGCCCGATGTATGCAAGTGAACAACAAAGTTTAGAAATCAGTTTAGGTCATTTTAAGTTAATGATATATACTAGATATTTAAAATCATTACCAATAATATGAGAACCCTAAGTGTGCACATGATCACCGTACTGTGGTTTCTGTGAGACAAAAATTGAAATACACACCCAGATGAAGCTAAATATCAGTTGAGCAGGTTTCTCCTCCGTAGCGTTAGGCAGACTGAGGTATGATGGTGCAAAATGAATTGTACCCGGAGCAATTTAAATGTCTGCAGCTCTAGATAGCATCTATAACACGTCTAGCTGCTACACACCGGGAAATGATTCACTTAGGTGACATTGAATCTGTGGCAATGCAACGTGCCACATTGCCACAACTCCTGCTTCTGAGCTCATAAAATGGCAATTTACATTTAAGATTAAGTATTTAGTAGACGCTGTCATTCAAAGGTACAAATCACGAGTGCTTATTTAGGCGACATCCTTGTGATCGACAGACATTATGTTGCCATCCACACAGCAGCTAAGAAAATAAATAAAAAGAACAAAGTACAAAAGGATCAAGCGCAGTATGCTGTGTGCAGTCTGCACTGAGCTATAGGAGCCTCTTTTATAGTGTTTGAAGTCACAGTCGGGGAGAAATATGGCCAGAAATAACTAGTATTGCATTTCTAATAAAACATATATTTCTCATACTACGAGTTACTCGAGAAAATGGCCTCTTTGCATTGACATCTTGTAGTATAATTATTGAAGTAGACTTTATGTGTAGTGAACAAAATATGAAAGATTACTTTTCTGAGTAAGTCACTGTGTGGGGTACATAAGACTTTTCAGAGCTTTCAAATAAAGATTCCACATAAATATTTGACAGCAAAGAAACTTGAGTAAGATTTGAGTAAGACATAAAAATGAGACAAATGCGTTATATTATATTGTTCTGATTTTGAAATTGTAGAAATGATCATTTATGATATAATGAAATGATAAATACGCTCTATTTTCCCTACACTGCCTCGCTTTAATCTTACCTCAGTCACAGCGAAACTGCGCTTCCCGCAGGGAACGACCTTGTACCATTTGTCATGCAGCATGTCCATGAAGCCATCTGACTTGTACTGACTAATAAGCTCCGAGATGTTGGAAGTGAGTGGAGAGTTCTGAGGGAGGCCAATGCCATAGCCTGCCATTGGACACACACAAACACACACAGAGACTCTTTAGCGATTATTCTTCTGTCATAACGGCAAAAACACCTTTTTTCATGTCACCTTCATGCTGCTGTTGTATTCTTTCCCTGGTCTACAGCTATGGGAAAAACAAGCTGCTGAGCTGATACACTTGGAGGTCTGGATAATTTAGCTTTTTTACTTTAAAAAGTCATAATTTTTCCAAAGCAAAGCTTGATGATATAATTATATCTCTGAACGTCTTAGCAGGCCAGGAGAGTGTGACAAATTCAGCAACAGCCAATTGAAGTACCTTTCCTTGGTAGGAAGCGTGCTGATTGATGTGTATTGTATCTTGAAGGCTTAAGAGTGCATTAAGTAATTAACAACACCGCTGGAATGTGGGACTACGATGGCTTGTAATGGAAGCAACCGCCACGGGAACATTTTCACAGCGGGAGGAAGAGGCTTTCTAAATGGACCACAGATTAACAGTAGACACTGGAGAGTGTAAGCTTTTGAAAGCCAAAAGATTAACCACTGTGTAAACGTTGAGTGATTGATATTGTTAAATTTAGGCTTGTTCTAAAATTGCTCATGGTCAGTTAGTCTGCAGTGACGCAGAAAGACCTCTTAAAATCAGGTGATGATTAAAACCAGAGCTGGTGGATGCTATTCACATGTCAGAGTAGTGATAGATTTCATCTAAAATGTTCATAATTGATATGCTCGCACATTACCTTCAATTGCAAAAGGTTTTCCTACTGTTAGTGTTTTACAGTCTGCATCTATGGAGACCTCATAGTCCAACAGTGCTTTGTCCATGATGAATGCATCCAATTTCTGAGGGTCAGCCCTGTAAGCAAAACAACATACTGTAAGTACACTGCAGCTGCAAAAAGTACCCTGTGCACATTCATAACACTCCTCCAGCACAGCATAGTGATGAAATCAAACATTTGTGTTCACTCAAATTTTGCCATCATTCCTCAAGCTAAACAGTAAGAGATTATGCATATATTGTGCTGCATAATTTTGCAGACATAATAAGAATTCAAATATAATTGTAATAAATGTAATTTATATTGTGTGGGTCATTTTTAGGCAGTTGAACTTTGTAATACTACATCAAGTAAACAAACTGGCATTTGCAGTGTGATAGATGGATAATTTGCAAGACTCATCGAGTGATTCTCTCAATATCAGGAGACCAACAGCAAATCTTTTACACTATTTTAAGCCGCCTTCTGAATTTGACATGAAAAATTAATCTTCACCACCTCACGAGACAGTAGCTTAAATGAACCTTAGCTCATTGTCTCACTCTTCGTCTGTGACTCTGAGGCTTATTTTCCCTGTGTCTGTCTTCGTGTCACTTCTCTGACTTCACAGGGTGAGTAGAAAGAATGAACTTCACCTTCAGTCATTCTATTTTAACAGGTCCTACAAACCTTTTTTATGCTCTACCTAACTTCATGTGTAGGGCAGAGCTGAATATATAGGCCCTATAAAAACTGTTTGCATTTTTCTTCTCTGGAAATCAAAACATGCAAAGTTTAATTAACGGTAAAGCACGAAGACTGACTGCAGACATGGTGCTACTTAATGCACAATACAAACTGATAATGAAACCGAAAACAGCGAATAAAGCATAAAAGCATGCAAGAATGAATTGTTTTTCTTTGAGCTTGTGGGCGTTTTACAAAGCCTTTTAAATGGCAGCACACCCTGAAATTATCACTAAGAATGAAATGTAAGTGATTCAACAAATATTTTTGCCTTGTTTGAACTTCATAATTCTGATGCTGGCCTTGCCTTTACTTTTTCCCCAATCCTTTCATTGGCTACCTTTCAGGAAAATTACTGCCTGCCTACAGATTTTTGCCAATTTATTTGTATTCCTCACAAGTCTGTTATATAGAGGTGAGATATTACGTCACAACACTCTGAGAGGCTTTTACAAATCAACTTTAAAATGTCTTTACTGACAGCTAGAGTCTACCGGGATACAAACGCTACAAAGACTTTTTCAAGATATACTGTGTTTTGCTTGTTATCAAGGACAGCGTTTGAAATCTTGCACTATCTTCTCCCTGCAAGCTGCCTGTTCATTATTACCGGCTGAATTATGCTGCAGCTGGCATCCTTGGTCTTTTACCACAGCATCTCATCTATGGTCAAAGCACTATCTTGACATCAGCCATCTAACAAACTAATATGATTAAATCACGATGCATCCCTTTTTACATCATCTATAAATCACATATTTGCATGAAGGGAAAACACCACTGCTGACATCAAAATGTCTGTGGTGTACTTTTATGTAAAGCCAGAGTTTCCATTACTGTGGGGTTATAGGGATAAGTCTTTGCATTATGAAGTACATTCGCAGGTTGAAATTGCTCTCTAATAAATTGTCTTCTCTGTCGTATTAGAGTAGCATTCCCTATATATCCATTAATAGGCCAGCTGTAATGGTACATGACAGCTGTCTGATGGCTTGTAATGCTTCAGCCAGTGAATTTTTTCCAAATGCTCTAATTATAAAGAAGACAGGCTGCAGTCAGTGGTGTTGATAGTTTGTTTCAGTAGCACTGGTGAGACATGGTCATTAAAGTTGAAACATTATTGAAAAAACAAAACAAAAGAATTGCCCTGATAAAAATCAGTGCTTACTGTAATCGGTGCCTAGTGTGTAGGGATGACAACTCCAAGTAGTCATCTAAATTACTGTATTTTCTCAAGCATTTCACAATGTGTGCTACATATACAGCAGCATTTTGTTTATCTGTCTTGTTTTTTGTTAATTATCCATTTGATAAATAAGAGTGTGCCCCAACAGCCTGTGTGGCACACTCTTATTTACCATTCCCATGATCACTGTCAGCGTCATCAGCATTAAGGGTGGGTTTTAATAATCGATTCATCGATTAAAATCGATTCTGGCTTGGATAACGTGATATAGATTCATTAAAATCCTGAATCGATTTTTTTTATATAAATGTATTTTGCCAAAAATTCCAGAATCTCAGATGAAACGTCACAAAATTTTGACAACCACCAAACATTTAAAACAGTAAATGAGAGCAGCTACACGGCTTCTGCACAAAGACGTAAACACAAAGCGCCGACCCGCGGATCAGAATCAGTGAGATGTCGCCTTTCTCCCCCGACTGCACGGACACGGTCGGGGCTGAAAGCCGACAGCTCGCTGATTCTGATATTTCGGCGGGTCCGCGCTTTGTGTTTACGCCCTTGAAATCACCTTCATGTGTTTCAGTGTTTTATCTTCAGCTACTTTGACACAAAGGCCTCTGCTGTGATGCTCACACCTTTGATAAAGTCTGGAAAGTGTCAGCTACCTTTTTATAGATACAAAAATATGTAAATGTACTGATCTGAATTATAATATTTCTGACTGTCTGAGGCAAAATTTCCCAGATTCAAATCGAATAGAATCGAATCGAATTGAATCGAATCGTGGATCGAATCGATTCAGGACCTTGTGAATCGGAATCGAATCGATTCTAGAAATCAGTGACAATACCCAGCCCTAATCAGCATGTTCTTATAAGATCCCTTAAAACCTGGTTTTGATTGTTAATGTTTACCTCCTTGTGAAAATACACTCAATATTCAGCTGTACTGCTTGCTCTTTGTTTGGTACACCTCTAGTACTGGGTTGGGCTCCCTTTTGCCTTTAAAATTGCCTTAATTTTTCATGGCATATATTCAACAAGGTGCTGGAAACATTGCTTAGAGATTCTCCTGGAAGCAGCCATCAGAAGATAGGAGCATGTGGTCAAACAAGCTCACAATATGAGTTGTTTTATTTTGCCCAAAGTGTGCCAAGAGAAAAAGAAACAAACAAACAAACAAACCCCCCAAAACAACCATTACATTACACCAGCAGCCCCAACCACTGATACAAGGCAGAGTGGATCTATGCTATTCTTTATGGCAAATTCAGACCCTACCTGATGTTGCAGTAGAAATAGCAACTCATTTGAACCAGGCAATGTTTTTCCAATCATCTATCATCCAATTTTGGTGAGTCTGAGTGAACTGAAGCCTCGGTGTCCTGTTTTTAGCTGACAGGAGTGCTCCCTCCATGCTCTTCTGCATACCATAATTGCAGTAAGTGGGTAATTGAGTTATTGCTCAGTCTTGTCATAGTCTTGTCATATTCCTCTGACATCAGCATGGCATTTTCACTGGATATTTTCTCTTCGTTAGGGGGTTCATCCCTGAGATGATTCTGTGGGAAACTTCCATAAGATAATCAGAAATACTTATACCAGCCCGTCTGGCAACAACAACCCTGCCACATTCAAAGTCACTTAGGATACCTTTCTTCCCCATTCTGATGCTTAGTTTGAACTTTACCAGGCTGACCTGACTATGTCAAAGTGCATTAAACTGCTTACAAAGTGGTCAGCATGGAGTTTAGTCTGTTTGTCAACACTAGCAAGGCATTGGAGGGGGAGGACATTACAACTATATATATATATTTTTTTGCTAAACAGCAGTCTGGCATTGAAAAAAAGATAAAAATTATTTCTACATAGCACTGTGTACTTTGGAAAGTTGGTCCGTTCTTATTAGGAAGGAAAAAAAGAAAAAAAAACATTGCTCACTAGAGCCGACCTCACTCTAATTACCCCTCAAATAAACATTGAAGCTGAAAAGACTACATTCCTCCACCCCACAGGCAGTACATTGACTTAATTATCAAAATATGACAAAAGATATGATCCAAAGTAAAATCCAAGAAAAGCAAGTATACTTACACTTCTATGAAAACTTTAGTGCAATTAGTGCAATATATATTAGAGATATACTATCAGTCTGTTAGTGCACAAGCGTCTTGCATATGTATATACATAATGCTTAGTCCCTAGTGAAGTAAATCCCAATGCAGAGGATTGCATTGCAGCACATTTGTATACTGTCTTGTTGCCAAGTTGTAATTTTCTAAAGATGACATTTTTGCTTTCCCTCTAATCAGCATTTTACAAGCTCAGTAAAAATAAATCTCGTTTCATCCGTTCAAATTGTGTTCCATGCAGACCTGCTGTCTTTTAAAAAAACAAACAAACCTAAAACTATATTCTGTTATGCACCATGGGGTTGCTAGTTGAATGTTGAAAGGGCTGAGGATGACAGCAGTGGCAGGAAAAAGAGGAAGGTAAGATCTGAATGAGAACAGGCATGCTTGTGGTGGGGAATGACAGCAGCAGGGATGCAATTTTCTTCTCCTTTTTTTTTCAAATCTGGCTTTCATTCAGTATGCGCACACTCTTATTTATTTATTTATTTATTTTTTATCAAAGATGATGCAGTTTCTTTTTTTCACTTGTGTAACCAAACAGAAGTTGATTTTCAGGGGCAATGACTAGAGAAGTTACCTAACTGAGCGGATATTAGGAAAGCTGACAGCAGTACCTGGATCAGTAAAGACTGAGCATAAATCAATAAAGATTTGATTATGGTCCTCCAAAAAAATGTATGTCTGCCTGTATGCTATATGTGGCCTGTATGCATCTTATAGCCCTACTTGAGATGATGTATGCCATCTGGCGTTGCCGGGACATTGTATCTTCTCATGTACTCGTGCATCTCGGGGAAACTCTTCTTGACGTAGTCCTCTGCACTGCTTTCTCTCACTGTAGCAAATCTGAATCCCTGAGAGGGATGGTGCAGCTGCAAGAAAGAAGAAATAAAACAAGATACCTTCAGAACTCAAATCAAGAAAGTTTGTTGCTTTACATTTTCTTTGTTTCTTTACACTAATTTGTTTCTTTTTTTTTCTTGAACATGCCGACTCTAAACATTCCTGCATTCTTGTAATTCAGTGACTTAATGAGCTTCCGAAAACCAATTAATCACCTTAATTCCCACGCGCCCCTACAAGGGTGTTTAATTAAAGAGTATATTTGCTGAGTAACAATTTTAAGACAATGAAACATCAGTGTAAGTACAAAAGCAAGCAAATAACCTCTAGACATTTTAAATATTTGTTTAAATGAAATTCATTTAGAACAAAAACAACTCAGAACCAAAATGTAATTTGTTATTATGATTTAATAATATCAATATAAACACAGGAAGAAGACGTACTCATATCACACTGAATATTTCTCCTTATGTAGTCAGTGTTTCAATAAATCTGTGTGTATATTTTCCTTTGGCTCACCAATATAAAGACATGAGTGGTGACTAAAGACTTTTCTCCTATACTATACTGATTTTTACCTTTGGATCATGGATTCCCGACAACTGTTCATAAGTTTTCTCCCCAACCATTACAGCAGCCAGGTTAGCAGTATAGGTGGACAGACAGAATAGACAGAAGATGGCCCAAAGGTTCATCAGCAGACGTCCAGTCCAGCATTTTGGTGGCTTGATGGCCACTGTTCTTCCAAAGAGAATGGCATAGCACACATTAAGTGCTGAGGAGAAGGAGAACACTCGGTCGCGGTTGCGTCCACGTGGCGTCATACCAAATGGACTGTGCCACTCATACAGAGTGAGGAAGATGGCGGTGACATGGAGGGAAACAAAGATGCCGAGCCACATGGACCAGTGTAGAGGCCACATAAAGGCACCAATGGGTGCGGCTGTATCACGAGTACGCACCTGGGCAGGTGGGGATACAGGATTGAAGAAAAAAAAAAAAGCACTGCATAAGGAATATTGCAAAACTGAAAAGATGTTGTAATTATCAAAAATTACTTTTGTTCTCAATGTTTCATAAATCAGAGGAAATGTGGAGTTTTTGGAAGACATTAATTAGGACTATTATGGAAAGATCCTATCAGCCCCCCTCCCCATCCTCCCTCTCCCTTCACTACAAATAAACTCTATAATAATAAAAACTGATCACAGTGGGATGGTGCAAATTCATTATAGTACCCTTGCCTCAATTGGAGAAAATTGGTTTCACAGTCCAGTGATTGTGAAGCAAATGCTGTTTCTGACGCTGCTGTTTGTAAGAGAGATACTTCTAGTGGAATGGGAAAAAGAAAAAAATACAGATAATAGAAAATACATCCACTGTAAATAAAGCAGAACGTCTACATCTGTAGCAGCATACTAGGAAAAAGTAACAATAGTGATTACCACCATCCCTATGCCTGTCAGCTGTTGAGACTAGCTGCAGTAATTGTAATAATAAGTTCTTTCTGCAAAGCTGTATAACCCCCAGAACAGCCCCGCATATGGGATTGCACTGGAATCCAATAATGTATGGTTGGCAGTGGTAAAACATATTGATACTGACCGTCTGCATACTGAGAGGAGAGAGTTGAGATCAGGTCAATGACACACATCAAAGAGAGATAGGTTAAAGAGTAACAGAAATTAGGAGAAGAAGTGGAGAGGAAAAGAGGAGGAAAAAAGAAGCCAGAGAGTGAAGAGCAACACTGACCAGAATTCCTAGGCTTGTGGAGAAGAAAGGTGAGGTGAAGTCAATCACCTGGCTCCTAGCTGAATTAATGCTAAAAGATGTCACTGCCAGGTGGGCAGCACCACTGAGAAGATCACCCACCAATCCTGTCCAACGACCATTCTTAAACCCCCCGTATTTCCCATCACCAACAATGTAGAGATCGAAAGTAAAGCCCATGTCCTCCCCCAGCTTCTCCAATAGATCAATGCAGTAGCCATAGCAGCATTTCTTTAGATCTGTGGGAACAGATCCATTGGTTCCTCTGAGGTTCTGGAAAAGTCCTTCCAAAACTGAAGAGTCATTGGTAAGCGGGTCCAGGCACAGCTGCCCGGCAGGACATAACCCATCTGAATCCACTTCACGGGTAAATACAAATGGGTGCTCCACCAGTGTCACTACTCGCATGTGCAACCGTGGAGGTCGGCGCCAATCGCCACCTCCTCCAGAACCTGGATGGTTTGGCCAGGCTGCTGGGTCCATCAGAATTCTCCCCCTGCGCCAGCGTCCCAGGCGGGTCCAGGTTGGCTGGCCTAAGGGATCCAGCTGGAGGGACCAGACGTAGTGATGGGCTTCTGAGATGACATTCTGGCTCTGACTGTTGCTGGATATGAAACCGCTCTGGCCCTCAAATGATGTGTTGGCTACAAATCTGAGGAGAATGAAGAGAAAGAGAAAACAAGAAGTGTCAGGGGAAAAAAAAAGGAGTGAGGGACATTGTGAAGAAGCTTGGAAGAGAAAAAAGGCGAGCAGAAGGGTACACACAGTTTTACTGGACACATGCTTAATGTCAAACATCATTAAAATTTTGGGAACATTTTTTAACAATATACTTATTATGTTTGCAAAGAGTGATACCCAGTCAAAAGTCAATCAAAAATCAAACTCTGGGCTCAGTGCATATAGATGTTCAGTATAATAGCACATTTTATCCCCTGTAGACAATATTCTTACAGGAAGTCTCAAGAGAACAGGTTTATTTGATTTGTTTGTCTAAACTGAACACAAGTCTATCTCTTTTGCGCACTAATACTAATGCAGTTAAATGCTAGATCTTCAAGGTTTTGTGCTTCTCTGAGAAATCAGCCCTCTTAAATGACTTAAATGAATTATATTAAAAAGTCAATATTTTCTGTGCATTCAATTCCATTTGTTGTCTTTTGTGATCAAAGACATTTGAAGTATCAAAAAGAGAGCTATAGGTAAATTTTCTATATACATTTTTTGTGTGTGGGAGCACTGTTTGCAGGTTGGCACTATCTCCTCATGGGAAGAATGTCCTGGTTTTAAATCCACTGGCTGGATGGGGTCTTTCTGTATAGAATTTGCACATTAACAGCATGGTTGTGTGGATTGTCTGTCTCCAAAATCCAAATACATGGAAGTTAACAGGTATGAATGGTTGTCTGTCTCTGAGTATTAGTTCTACAACAGACTGGTAAACTGTCCACCTCTCGCCCTATGGGAGCTGGGAAAGGCTCCATCCCCACCACAACCCTGAATTGTTTGAGTGGAAGAAAATGGATGGATGGATGAGTTTGAGCATTTTTCCAAACTATTTGGGATTATAACCAATGAAAAGAAAATCAATTCGACCATATGCAATTACGCACTACTTCTGAGTGTGTATATGTGTGTATCACATGTCATTTACTTACCTCTTTTCACTCACTATTTGTTTATAAACCATTTTGCGTTTAGTCATTAGTTATTAATAATCCCTGGTTCTCTCCCACCGTGTGCCTTCTGTCCTGTCGCTCTCCTTCTTTGTCATTTGATTACTAGGGTTTTCTCTCTGTTATCATATGATCTTCACATTATAAAGCAGCTTGAAAGAACTGTTGTGACAATTTCGCACTAAATTTCTAGGATATAGAAGGTTCAAGAAAACGTAGGTCTTATTAGACTGTAGACAACTGTATGTTCTCAAGATGCTCTGTAAGTATCATTTAGGGCGTCCTTTCAATGTTACATTTTAAAGTTCCATTCACTTCTCTTCACTTTAGTGGGTACAGTAAAATGATGCTAACTGAAACAGATGAAAGATTGTTTGGATTACAAATGAAATTAGTAAAAAAAAATAATAAAAATAATTTCACTTGGTGAAAGCAGCTGAAATATTGTGGTAATCTTAAAAAACATTAACAAAAAACCCTCCAAAAGACAAGAAATAATCATCAGTCTGTCTTGTCAACACTACATGCTTTGTTTACTCACTGATCCAATCCAGCCTGATCCTGGAGAGCACAACAACACCGTGCTGACTACTTCTGACTTTGACACACATTAATAGCAGTTGTTTGAACAAATAACCAGTGTTGCATTTTTTTTAATGATCACCTCAGCCTGGAGAGGAATCATTTCAGATCAAGTTTATGATGCTACCCTGACAGTATGTTTGATAAATATGAATATGCATGGCATATGCATATGTCTTCTTTATGACTCAGAAAGCTGAACCCCATTTTCTTTTATATCTTAAATACAACAGAGAGACTGAGTATGCACTGAGCACAGTTCATGTTGCACAATAACGTAAATTGCAGGATGCACAGCTGTAAAAAAAAAAGTTTTCTGCTGCCTTGCTTTTTTATTCTTTATCACCTCTATCCAGACATGTTTGGATCTCTGTTCTTGGGACTTATGGGCTTAAATGTACAATTATGTTTTACTCTTGGTTAGTTCATATATCAATTTCCACTTTATTGGTGTAAAAGCAACAACAGAGAGGTGTATTATCTTGGCGGCCTTAGTGGCTGTCTATCTGTGAGTGTGTGTATGTGTGACAGCATAAGACAAACCACGGTCCAGTGATCACGCCATCTCCCTCACTGAGCCATGCTACTGGCTGTCTGAGAGTGTCAGATACCAGAACAGACACACACACTCACACCCACACACAAGAAAGACACGCACTGGATTGGATATGTTTGAATTTAAGAAAACATGCAGGCATCCAGGTAGATGCACAGCTCTTTGATATGCCTTGAGGAGGTAATGATGTACCTGAAGTGACCTTTTTCAAAATATCTCCATCGTGTCACCTTGCTCACTGAAAAATTTCCCGTCCCACCACCTTGTCAACTTCCCTTCATCTTTTACAGGTTTTTAGCCAACCTGACAACTCAAGCAAGCTGTCTGAAGGTCAGTGTTTTCACAGTAGCTTGTAGATGTTAAACTACCTGGGGAGTGTGTCTCTCTCCTGATGGCAGCCAGTGTCATGCTCTCGCAGTTTCCTGACATTGCAGAAAGTGTTCCATGCTAAATGTGAAATGTCACTTTCATACTAAAAGGTCACGTATTATAGAAGGTAATGTGTTTAGGCAAGACATCTGTATTATTTGAATATGTTTCAAGTTCAAGTCTGAATTTACTGTCAGATTAATATAGGCAAGGTTTTCTCAGGAAAGTAGCTGTGAAAAGGGAAGCACAGTTTTGTAGCAAAAATCAATATAGATGTCCAAGTTAAACTGGTATCCATGTGTTTCATCCACATAAGGACTCAGTTAAAAAAAAAAGGGTCAGACCGCTGCAACACCAATCACGTAATCAGAACTCCAAGGATAGTTATTACAACTGGGATTGATCCTAAGTGGCTCCACTCATTATGAACCATTGAACTCTTCTAATCAGACAAGCTCAGGATAGTTAAACTGGCACACCCACAGGACTGCTCTGTCTCTGCTGACTTTGGATGTCTTTGAACACAGAATCGAGTTCAGAGACACACAAAAGCACTGGGCCACCTACACATTACTCTAAGTGGAGCTGCTCAGCCATGAAAACCATGCCATGAAGCTCTTAGGACATAATGTTTGTGCTGATGTTAATACTAGAGGAGGGTTAGAATCTGCAGTTATTGAATCAGCAGAGCTTTGGCAGATTTCACTACATGCCTCAACACTTTGCCACCCTGCTTTTTATCTGGCCTGCCACTTTGTGGCTAAATTGCTGTGGTTCTTAACTGCTTCCACTTTTGCAATTTGCAAACTTACTTGTTGCACTGGTGACAACCTATAACAGTACTGTGCTAGAATTCAGTGAGTTATTTTTTAAAAACCCATTCTCTCACAAATGTTTGTAAAGGCAGACTGGATGACTCAAATGCAGAGTCAAATGCAGGCATCGATTACGTTTAAAAAAAAGGCAAACCAAAGTCCAAGAGAGAAAGCAGGGAAACAGAAACATGGGGAACTAGAGAACAGTACACAAAGGAAACAGGATTACAACAAGGCACTTAGGGAGATGCTAAACAGCTGGGAACATAGCTCCAAGTCATCAGAAAAATTAGACAAGGAAGTTTAAATTAAATACAAAATACACAAGACTAAGTTTATCAAAATGAAACTGGAAAAAAACAGTTTGACTGATTACACTAAGGGGAAGGAAATACATTAAATAATGTGATCCCTAAGAAAACCAAGAATCACATTGATTATTTAAATAAAGAGCACTTTAAATTCCAAAAAACATTTAGAGATGTCAACAACTAACTACCATTTCAACACTATTGTAAACAAACTAACGTAATTAAAATACCACCATCGCCTGTTTGTCTGCCAGTTTGCACTACATAATTTTAAGTTTGTTTTCAGTTTGTCCAGCCTCTTCCTACGAAAACAGCTTCAGTTTGAGAAATCATCTCCAAGCATAAATGTAGCTAAAATATTTAAACCAAGCCCCAATATACTTATCTTAAGCTCCATATTTCTCACCACTCAACTTATCATACCAAACAATTATTTGACCTTCAAAACTACTTGCTGACGTGCTGTAGTTCACTACATCCGGAGCTGCTACATTACCTCCTATGCTCGAAATAAAAACTATGGTTGAACTTTTTATTCAACGTGACGTGATTCACTTCCACTTCATGAAAAGATAAAATGATGGTATTTGTAGCCAAAGAATGACGTCTGGGTGAATCATATATTTTCCAGACCAAGACTAACTCAGTGTCAAGGCTGCCTCGTGTTCTCGCCTCATGCATCACCCAAAAAAAATAAAAAATAAAAAAGATTTTTAACATGATATAACCACAAGGCTGTTGTTGTGTGTACATCACTGACCAAGCAAGTTAAATGAAAAGGAATGGGAGTGCACTTAAATCCATCTTATTCATTACTCTCACAACATTAATCAGCAACAATGAATGTTTTTTTAAGCAAGAAAACATTTTGCTCTTAAAAATAAAATATAGAAAAAAGGAAATGCTGCTGCCTTTGTAGCAGCATAGAAATCTCTGCCAAGAGTATTCCTCCTTGTTAAACCAATCCTCGCCTGAAGCAAACAGAAAGTGTTTCACTGACATTGGTTCAGGGAATACAAGCCTCAGAGGGGACATTTATCATATACCATTTTCTATCTTTATGGTTCATCCAGCTGGCACATGTGGGTACTAACCTTTACTTTGACGGGCATGGATCGCTTTAAAATGATTTCTATCAAGACGGATTGTCTATGGTGGGGAAAAAATAAATAAGATAACCTGTGGAAATTTGTCTCGGCACAATATCTAGTTATAAAGGACTTTTGCTCACTGAACTCTCAGAAGGGTGTATAGTGTATCTCTGTGAAAATGCACATTTATATCTTAGGTTTAGGTCTTTATCTTCATTTTTTCCCCACCTTTATCTTCTTAGGCTTTGCTAT